TTCTCGCCGGTGAATCAAAGTGAATCGCGTTCTGAAATAAGCAGCTCCGCTGACAATACTTGTGTGTTCCTCGGATACAACAATCGTCTCTTTATTACTTCCACTTTTTAACGCTCGAGAATCGAAAATATTTTTCCTCCAGATAGAAAACTTTTTTAAATTCGTCGCATATTCGATAATCTTCGATAATTGTATATTAACCGATTATGATTCTTTGTATTATATTGTAAAAGAAATCGTGTAGTCGTATCGAGTTATCTGTAGGCAAAGTTGAAGAATTTTTGCAAATTTCGAACGTCGCTTTGTAGATAAAATTGAAAAGTATTTTCTTCGAATTCTATAATTGTTTAAAAAATTACAAAAATTGATTTGAAATCCTTTTTCAAACATTAACACAACAGTTTCGTCCGTTCATAAGAATCGTCTATCAAGATTCTGAAATCGCGTGCATCTTTTATAAAACGTATCCAAACATCTGCACGCTCTCTCTTCCATTTTCAAGTCTCCTCCTCCTCCTCCTCCTCCTCCTCCTCCTCCTCCTCCACTTGAATCCACACAAGCTCTACGCAAATACTCTCTGAAAACGCATTCAATCCCACGGCTAATCATATATATCTTCTCTTCCTCGCCGCGAATTCAACTTGGAATTCGTATTCCAAACTCGCGGGCAAAAGAATTGAATCGTAATGGAATTATCGCGATCGAAAATCATCGGAGCATCAATTTTTTCCCACTGCTTGTTGCGTTCGTACGTTCGTTTTCGATTCGTGCACCTTCCTCGTTTCATAGGAGGAATATAGGAGGTGGATATAACGCGATAAAAGTGCCTCCAGCGATTGGTATGCAAATGCAAACTCGATGATTGTCCACACCTACGAAACAACCTTCTGCGTACCGTTGGCCGTCTTCAGCGTTCCCTGGAACCGGCCGAGTAAATTGCATCGCCCTCCTTTCGATTAACGCGCAACTCGATTTATAACGCCGCTTAACCGACCTACCATTTGGGATTCTAGCGCTCTTGGTAAACACGTGTTATAATTTATGCTCGTGCGTAATGTGCGCCATTTTCGCCTGTATTGGATAGTAGATGTACAATTCGATGGCAAGTTCTAAAGAATTTAAGAAACGAAATTAATACAGATTCTGAAATCGCGTGCATCTTTTATAAAACGTATCCAAACATCTGCACGCTCTCTCTTCCATTTTCAAGTCTCCTCCTCCTCCTCCTCCTCCTCCTCCTCCTCCTCCTCCACTTGAATCCACACAAGCTCTACGCAAATACTCTCTGAAAACGCATTCAATCCCACGGCTAATCATATATATCTTCTCTTCCTCGCCGCGAATTCAACTTGGAATTCGTATTCCAAACTCGCGGGCAAAAGAATTGAATCGTAATGGAATTATCGCGATCGAAAATCATCGGAGCATCAATTTTTTCCCACTGCTTGTTGCGTTCGTACGTTCGTTTTCGATTCGTGCACCTTCCTCGTTTCATAGGAGGAATATAGGAGGTGGATATAACGCGATAAAAGTGCCTCCAGCGATTGGTATGCAAATGCAAACTCGATGATTGTCCACACCTACGAAACAACCTTCTGCGTACCGTTGGCCGTCTTCAGCGTTCCCTGGAACCGGCCGAGTAAATTGCATCGCCCTCCTTTCGATTAACGCGCAACTCGATTTATAACGCCGCTTAACCGACCTACCATTTGGGATTCTAGCGCTCTTGGTAAACACGTGTTATAATTTATGCTCGTGCGTAATGTGCGCCATTTTCGCCTGTATTGGATAGTAGATGTACAATTCGATGGCAAGTTCTAAAGAATTTAAGAAACGAAATTAATACAGTGGCGTTCGAACCTTGGAAATTTATAAATTGAATCTCTGCTGTGTTTCGTGAAAATTGGAAGAAAGTTATATTTATAGAAAATTTGGAGATACTATATATTGTAAAAAGAAAATAAATCTGTTGATAGTAGATGTACAATTCGATACCAAGTTCTAAAGAATTTAAGAAACGAAATTAATATAGTTCGAACCTTGGAAATTTATAAATTGAATCTCTACTGTGTTTTGAAAAAATTTGAAGAAAGTTATATTTATAGAAAATTTGGAGATATTATATATTGTAAAAAGAAAATAAATCTGCTCGATACCAAGTTCTAAAGAATTTAAGAAACGAAATTAATACAGTTCGAAGCTTGGAAATTTATAAATTGAATCTCTACTATGTTTTGAAAAAATTAGAAGAAAGTTATATTTACAGAAAATTTGGAGATACTATATATTGTAAAAAGAAAAAAAATGTTTATTAGGAAATTGCACTGGGCAAGAAAAATTGGATAACTTCAAAGGAAAAGTCGTATTGGAAAGGATTGGATAAAAAATTTGGAAGTGATATGCGTTTCATGAAATTTGAATATTCGCAGAAAAAGTGGTATTAAAAAGTTGTTGGAAAATTTGGATAGATATGGAAATTCAAAAAAAAAAAAAAAAAGTTGCGTTAGAAAGTTACACGAAAATTTGAAAGTATCGCGTTCCATGAAATTTGGATATGGCATTGGAAAGTCGACTTTTGAAATTTGGAAATGCGTATGCTTCGTAAAGTTGCATTAAAATTTTTCTCACCTACTAAACTTTTCCTCAAAGGAGATTATTAATTTAAATCGTTTGGAATCAATAACGAAAACTCAGAAGAGGAGGGGAGTGCACACGTAAAAAGAAGAGAAATTTCGAAATCGGATCGCGACAATTTGTCAATCCTAATTGACTCGATAACAATTTATAATTTGTAACCGGTTGATTTGATTTATCCGCTCGTTAAATTCGTTGTGGGTCGTCGATTTCGATTCTTCTTCGTTTCATAAATATCGAAACGACAATGATAACTTTATCCAGAGAGGCAGGGGGGTCATGGCTATTTTACAATACCGTATTGTTAGAAATTACCGTGAATCGCGTTATCATGGGTGGGGAGGGAGGTTAAAGGCGAATCAGGCGAAGTGAGTCACAGTGTCATTGTGGTAGAATGCCACGTATTCGTATTAAACAGTCGCAAGGATTGCATTTGGTTAACGATTTGAAATATATATATATTTATACGATACGTGAGTCAATTCTATTTTTACAATCGATGAATCATCCGCGTCGATATATTTTTATGAAAATTCATTACACAACAAAACATTCTTTATATTTTGAAAGTAAAAAAAAAAAAAAATAAGACACTTTCTTTGCTAATTTTTAATGAAAAATCACAAAATTGCAGGACAATTTTTTGTCGTGTTAAAAAAAGATTGTTAAGATAGAATATGAGAGAAAGAAATGTTAAAATTAAACGTTCATCGACGATAAAGTGGAGATAATGGATAAAAATCCATCGACGAATCCAACTATACCGAACGAATTCAAGACGACGTCGATCAACAATCGATCACCACTCAACTTCCACAAGAACAAAAGCTTTTCTCCGCGTCATCGAGGAAAAAGATCGGTAGCCGAATATCCCGGCAATGTATTTCTCCTCCCCCTCCTCATGAAAAGCATTTCGAGTAGCGTCGGCTTAACCGTTGAAGTTCTCATTGTCTGGCTCCGCCAATTAATGGCACGACCAAGCAGGAAGGCAACCAAGGGAGGAAATAAAAATGCGATGGAAGGCTTTATTGGCTATCATTGGCCCTTGGACGCATTCGCTCACCAAAACGTTCCCATTGTTCGTTTCGTTTAAATACCCATGGAAATGGGCTTACGGAAAACTGGATCAATGGAAAAGAGAAAATGAGCTGAGAAACGCGGCAGCCTGTATCGATCCTTCTATTCCGCCCTTCTATCTCGATCAAACACTCTTCGATCGAAAATTCTGTTTAAAATTTACGTTTTCCTCTTCTTCTTCTTCTTCTTCTTCTGAGGTTGAAACAAAAAATCGTAATATCGTAATGTCTTTAATAATTTTTATTTACCTTTTTACTTTTCAACCTTTATGTAGCAACGGCTGGTAGAAATATTCTAATAGAAATTCAGTGTCGATTACGCGATATGAATTTTTGTTGAACGATTAGCGAATATATGACGGATCGCTTCCGATAAAAGTCGTGGTCGCGTGATGAACACGAGTCCGTTTTCTGCCGTGATCTAACAACACGTGACAATATTTAACGATCAATCAAACATGGAATGGTATCGGTACTATCGCATAGTTCTCCTATGCGAATCATAACGAGGGCAGCACTGTGTTATCATCGCTATTTTTACATTGTCGTGATAAAGGTGGTTCATTCAAACGTCCTGGTTATTATCCGTGATGGTTTCATTCGCATTTATATATTTGCAGTTCGTGTTCGCGAATCAATAAGATAGAAACAGAGTGTAAACAGTGGTTACGTTAATGTAACGGTAAGATATAATCGTGTAGAATTTTTCATCTTTGACAATCTTATTTGTTGCTCTTCCAAGATTTATATACGTTATCCGCCAGCTTTGATTATTTCTTTCGAAAAGGGAGAGAGAAAAATTTGTAAATGTTATAATTACGAATATGGATAAATATACAAAATGTGTCGGAGGAAAAGGAAACAAAGAAGATCCGAGAAACGCATCCACGATGAATTAATCTTACATCATCGGGTGACTCACCAAAACCTTGCAGCAACCATGTAACAAATCTTAAAACCTCCAGTTCTAAAATTACGCAATTTTAAATAAATTCTGCTTATAAAATATCCCTCTCCCCAATTTGGCCTCCAAATACGCATTTTCAAATCTTCTATCCCATAAAAAAAAAAAAAAAGAAAGAAAATGAAATGAATAACCCATTGCAGGCAGTTCAGCATGATATGATAACAAAACGTTGCAGCAACAAATCTTAGAATCTATTTTAAATAAATTCTGCTTATAAAATATCCCTCTCCCCAATTTGGCCTCGAATTACGCATTTTCAAATCTTCTATCCCATAAAAAAAAAAAGAAAAGAAAGAAATGAAATGAATAACTTATTGTTGCAGGCAGTTCAGCATGATATGATAACAGCGACCGAGGATAACTCCCCCGCAAGATGAAGAATCCTTACGTCCTCGCGTGTTTGCTGCTCGTTGCGCCCGCGGTGCTGTGCCTCACCCTGCAGGAGGACGATCTGGTGTTCGACGACGTCGGCGAAGAGGGGACCAGCACCGCAGCAACGGTGATCAGTCGCCGGTACGACGAGCACAAGGCCAACTGGCTCGAGCAGAAGTATCCCCACGAGGTTAAGAGGCATCAATTCGACAAGGTGAACAACGTGCCCCACGTCGTGGTGCCGGTTGGCCACGTGCTTAAGCTTCGCGTCCACAAGGAAGCGTTCACCGGGCCCGAAGATTACTACGAGGTGAGTGTCATCGTCGAGTCTTTGGACGACACATTTATCTCTCTTTGCATCGAGGGATTGGTTTTATTTCGAGGAATGGTTGATTCGTTGTCGAGGAGTTTGGAAGGTTTGGGTTTGTTGTTAAAAACGTAGTTGGAACAACGTGACCCATTTTAACAAGGAGTGCATTATTAAACGGGGATATCAAACGGTGACATCATCCTCGTCGCAACAGTTTGTGGGTGGTTAATGCTTGGCTTTCGTCAGCCGGTAGCTATGGATTGTTTTTCGCGAGTGAACGTGGGCGAAAGAGAAGAGTTTATGTTCTGAGAAACGCAGGTTGGAGTAATAAACTCCTCTTGTCGGGAGTGTGATTTAAATGGAAATGGGATTTAATGTGGAAATTTTCTGTTATCTCTCGGTCGATAAATATTTGCTGAACGAATAAGTGAAAACTTGTAATAGTTGGATCGATATTGCATAATATAAATCAGATTCTAAAAGCGGATCATATGGTCAGATTATTCTAAATTCCATTCGAAGGTATACTCGAACACTTGTTTTACAATTACGAGATAAAAATGTGTTCGAGGTAATTGAATATTGGTCGAACGTGTCGAACGATTTCGAAGTTATGTTTCTGGACTAACGCCAATACGCCTGATCCTTGTGTATTTCCTTTTCTCGATCATGCCAACATCGGCGAACGAATCTATATTCCTGATTCAATTTGGCGATAGAAAATTCGCTTACAAGGTACAAGTGCGAGAACTTGGGTTACCAATTTAGTTGCAAACTTTGATCGTAGATTTCGTACATTGTTGTCTTGTGTCTCCTTAATAATTTGTTTAGATATCTAATTTTTTCGTTACAAGTATATGTAGTTAAAATTTCATTAAAATTGCAGTAAAACGAGATTGTATATATTTAATAGTTTGAGTTAGAAGAAGATCAGAATTTGCATTTTGCATCCTGTTGGTGTGACGGAAGATAAAGAAAGATTGTAAATTGATATTTTTATTTTCTTCGATAAATGGAGCGAGGTCAAAGTACATTCGCTAATCCTCTCGAATACATTCAATAAAATGTAATAAAAAGGAATATAATATCACAAAAAAAGAAAGAAAGAAAGAAAGAGAATTTCAATAATGATAAATAACGCAAGAAAGATCCTCAGAGAGAAAGAGATATTTTACTTGGAATAAAACGTCCTAAGGACATGAAAAAGAGCGCAGCGTAAAGGAAGTATCAAAGGAAGAGAAAGTGGTGGTAGTAAAAAAATTCAAACGTCAAAAGAACGACGAAGGGCAATAGAGTTGATGGCGCACGAAAATATAACGAAATATAACACCGGAGAAGAAGAAAATTTCCATCTGTTCTGAAGGGGAAACGTTTCGAGAAAAAAACCTACTATAAATATATGGAATATAATAAATTTGAAATGGTATGTATTTGGATGGAATTGAATAAAATTACATTCCGGAATTCTCGACGAAATCCGGAAATTTAGCGTAACAACAATGGTCGTCGAGTGGTAATAGGGACGAAATTTTTCGTGCTAAACTCGATACGAATGTGACGACAGATTTGGAATTTATTTTCAATCGATATCCACACGTGTTCGATATTGGTCGCTATCAAAAAAAAAAAAAAAGAAACGACGATGCTCAATAAAAGTTCGATAATCCGAATGTAATCGGCACCACAGCGGTTATCCTTTTCTCGTTTAGTGGATCGTCAATAGCCGCAATTTTATTTTCCGCGATAAAAAAGAAGGAGCAGCGCGTTTCGAAGGAAAAATGGCATCTCGACGGATATAAAAATTGCGTCTGAGATGAAAGATCGCCTTGTTTTTGTTCCCAATGTTGTTTGGAGAAGCAACGATGAAATTTCACAGGGTTAAAATTGCAACGATGGATAAATATCCAGCGTTGAGAAAACGTCTCGTTCTCGTGTTCCATCAGAGTGGAAAGAATTCGAGAATATTTTTCTTCTTCTTCTTTTTTTTTTTTTTCTACAATTTTTCTTATTTTTAATACTCGTGAACTGTATTTGTTCTTGTGCCAGCAATTTTGAGCAATCGTTTCGACGATTCGTGCAAACACGTTACGTAATCGTATTTGTTTTACACGCTGGTATTTCCAAGAGTAATGTAGAGATTGTTTTTAACAGAGATTTAGACAGAGGTAAATCTTCTATTTCTCCGTTTTCGTGTCTGTTAATCGAAGCAGAAATAAAGAAAAATTGTATTCGAAGTTAAAAAAAAAAAAAAAAAAAGAAGAGATAGATTTAGAACAACCGAATATTATAAATTCTGTAAGTAGAATTAAATTCATGTTCGATAAGAAAGAAACAACTGAATCTAAGTCAAATTAGATTTACTTAATTCGAATCGAGTTACATAATTTTATTGATCTAATTTTCTAAGTAAAAGAAAAAGTTGACAATTCATCTCTTTTCAAAAGATACACACCCCATCGAAATTATCTCCAATTATCTGTAAAGATTAAATTCAATTCTATCGAAAAGTTCATCGTTCATCCAGTTCGATCTGCTCTATGTTTGAAAACCAGTTGTTCGACTCGAGCGGGAACAAGCTACTGCGATGGCTGTACTGGGACGACGCTGCGTCGACCCTGATGGGCGTCCCGACGAAGAAGGACGTTGGCAGCCGTCGGCTGAGCGTGAAAGTGGTGCCAAAGGACGACGCCGCCACCACGAAGGACCTGTTCGTCGTGCAAGTGGTCCCCGAGAAGCACGAGGAATTGAAGCACAGGGACGGAAAGGTGAGTATCCTAAATCTTCTCTTGCACCTTTGCCAGGTTTATCGTGATAGGCGCTCGATTGGCAACGATTTAACTAACTCCTGAACTCCTACAACAGGTACAATTCCTGCCGTTGTTAGAGAATTAATCGTGAGAACTTGCAACCTGTTGGCAAGGTCTACCGATTGATTCTATTTGGATCTATCTATATGATTTATCTTTCTCTTTAACAGGAAGTTCAATTTTTGTATTTTCTTATTGTAGCAAAAGAGAAAATGGTGGCACGGTATCTCGAATATGTATATTAACAATAAACCTACCGACATTTCATGTATACCGCTGCAAAAAAAAACATTTGTATCTTAATATAGAAAGAGATTTTAGCTAATTGGATTCGTAAAGTAAACAATAACACAGAAAGTTGTGAATATTGAAAAATTGGATTGTATCTACATTATCTAGAAAAAGTCAATAAGTCATATGGCGATACAGTAACTTTGTCAAACAAGAAATTCTAAAAACGGTCATTTGACTGCGCGTGGTAGGTTTAGTGTCAAAATACACCCACGCGAATTTTTCTTCACTCAGTCCAGCATTCTTCTCTTTCGAGTAAGAAAAAAGGTTTTCTTCCGTTTCAAAATCGCGAATCCATCGATTCGCGCGTGAAAAAATTCGCACGTGTTTGCGAATAATTGGGATCATTGAATCGATGACCGATCGGTTTGTGAACTCGGCCGAACTCGATGGATCCAGCCGAAGCTGTTAATGAAGCGGTAAATCAATTAGCACGTTAATCGGTTTCGCCGATCGGGGGCAACATGGCATATACCGGAGGGGATTGACTTTTGCGCGACACGTTGATCGTTTTAATCGGATCCGCCCGATTTTCGCCAGCTCGATAATTAATTGGCCCGAATCCCGCGCTCGTTAAATCGCTCGTCGGACGAATTATCGCGTTTATCCTTCCGCCACGAGCGGAACCTAACCTCTGAATCGGTCAACGCCATTTTTGAAACGCCGCTCGATCGATTAAACAGGGAGAAATTCGATTATATTCCCCGCACTCGATTCGTGTTACGTCAACTCGGGCAATTTGATTCGTCGTTTTTTTTTTTTTTTTTGCCTACGAAATCTCGTACTTTTTTTCAAAGACTGTGAAACGATTGCAAAGTGGGAATTTTTTTTCTTATCCAAATCAACGTCAGCAATTCCCCAATATTATTTTTAATCGCGTTTTCTATGCGCTTCGAAAATTCGAAATGTGTTTAAGAAAGAAAAAAAAGTCCGTATTTTAAACTTATCGTAGGAAGAAACGATAACTTGTCATATTTTTCTCTCAAACTTTCGAAATTGTCTGAAACGAGAGGAAAGTATTACAATTTATAATTTGAAAATGGAAAGATACAATTTTTTCGGATACGTACAGCTTTCGACAACAAAAGGTGATAAGATCGAAGGAAAAAAAGAAAAAAGGAAGAAGAAGAAGAAGAAGAAGAAGAAGAAAAATTTATTCGACTCGCGTGCATCGTGGAAAGATTGCCGCGTGGCACGATTGCATCGGCGTATAACACATCGGTTAAATCTCTCCGCCAGAAATTAGGCTGGTAGACGATGCTGATTGATGCCAATTGATAGCCGACCGTATTGCGCATCACCACGAATGGTATTGTTCGGATCCTTCTCGGTCGGCCTTAATTCCTCGTGTTTCGCACACTGACACCGTTCGTTTCGGCCCGAGCCAGCCAACTGAAATAGGACGCTTCTGATTTTAGACACACTGCAACGAAGGGGAGGAACAGACGTTGCTGACGATACTGTTGGACGCAAAGTTCGACAACCTCACGCCGGTCACGCGAGTCAACACCATCGAGAACCTCGCAGGATTTCTGGGACTTCACGTGGTACGTGGTACTATTGTTGCATGCTCGATGAGCTGAGGAGTGATTTAAAATGTAAACTGTTATTTTTAATCTTTCTAAATTTAGTAAAGATTTTTGTCGGTATATGCTTCGCTTTTGTGTCGCGATGAATATATAATGAGAATCGATGATGAGATAGGATGATGTAAATGACACAAGCTTTGGAGTAATTTGTTTCTTTTTTTCTTTTTTTTTTTTTTGTTTTTTGAGAAAAGAAAAACGTGTGAGATGTACTGAAGAATAGAGAAGATTTATCACGAATAGTTGTATAATATTTTTTCGAGTCATATGGAAGATATTTTAGAAGGTGAAAGATTGTTAAAGGGATGATGGTGTAAAAAATGATGCTCGCCGATACGATACAATGATAATTTTCTCGTATAGAATTCTATTGCTGTGAATTCGGTATTTAGGAAAAAATTTTTTATTACTTTACATTTCGACAAATGGAATTCTTTGTACGAAGTTCTAAAGTTGAAAGCATTCGTCGATAGTATTTCAAGTTATTTTTTCGCTCGCGTCAATTGGATTCCATTGAATCAAATGATATTGCTGACTTTATGGTATCGAAGCATACGATACGTGATATACAATATGTGCATATTATACTTTTTTTTTATCATCATCATTATTATTGAACATAATCGAAATCTAATGCAAATGAAATCAACTATAAATTTTATAAAGCCTTAGAATCATTTTGTTTACCTCAAATCTTTTTCCAAGCTTTCTAAAATCCTAAAATTGTTCCAGATTTTAAATATTCTAAACTTTTATAAATTCAGAATTACTTCAAGTTTTTTTTTTTTTTTTCTACAAAAAAATCCAAAATTTTCCAATTAGATTTAAAAATTCATTTAATTCCCTCTCTTTTTCTTTTTCAAAAAGAACAAACATCCTCGAAAAACGAAGAAAAATCCTGAAATATTTCCACGATCCCGAAACGAGATGCTCGAGTCACGATTTTCTCACTTTGTTCATTAACAAACCGAAACTGAGAAAAAGTTTAAGTTCGAAAGGGGGAGAAATATGAGAAATCTTTGCGGAGGAGGTTGTCCCAATTTCACCGCCTCGACGAGAAGAATATTTAATGAAAATTCATCGTGCGAATACGAGTTTTTCTTCATACGAGTTTTAAAAAATTTTACAAAGCTGTTCCACCGTTGTGGAATAGAAGATGCATCGCGGTCCCGACATAATAAATGTTCAAGTAAATTTTTAAAGTATATCCACGTCGAGAGAGAGAGAGAGAGAGAGAAAGAGAGAAGGAAGTTTCGTCGAGCATAAATTGGACGCCTTTTGAACTTCCCGCCTTCGTTCTTTCTTTCCGCGCCGTAGCTGTGTAATACTTAATTAATTTAATCGTGACGGGGAGGAAAAGAACGCGTTACTCTTTATATACTCTTTATATACATAAGACACGTACGTAGGAAAGCCAGATCTTCCTCCTTCGTGCCACAGAATTTTTCTTCCTTATCTCTTCCGTGATTGTACTATTATTCGTAGGATATTTCTGAAGCGACATTGTCCGATTTCTTTTCTTTTATTTCGTCCAGTATCGCCTGGATGAATGAACTTCTCAGTTCTCTCCTTTTTTTTTTTTTTTGTAAGATTTCTTTCGTTGAAAAATTGAAGTTAGATGAAGTAAAAGAGGCGGAGATGGAAGGAATTTTTTTCGAGGAAGTTGCGGAAAGTTAACTTTTAAATTTCGTACTTCTTTGATTGATAGTTTTTATATCAGGATTTTTAGATTTGATACGGGAGAATTGAAAAAAATTTGTTAAATTTCCTCAAGTTTCAAGTTTTATCTGTTCAAATATATTAATAAAGAAGAGACGTAATCGAATTCATTGCATGGAATCCATTTCGTCGGAATAATCAATTCGATTCCATTGAATTGAATTTTTTCCCATTGATTTAATCGCATCACGGTAATTTTTTTTTTTTTTTTTCCCCCTTCAAAGAACGAGCCTCGACGATTAACAATCTATTTTTATTCGAAGTCAAGAACTATGAATAAGCATTTCCATTATTGCTTGCAATTTCTTGTTTACTGTTCGCGGAAATTCCTTTATTCATACGCCAATTCGTTCAATTCACATTGGATTCGAATTTCAGAGCGCATTTTCGATGCATCCGCAAAACGCCAAAGAGAATTTCAACGCCGATTCGACGGTGATCCTTAGCGGGCCCGGGAACGTGAAGCATCGGAAAGAGAAACATCTCACGACAGTCCAATGGCAGGTAAGATTTTTGTAATTAATTTTTGTCAATCATCTTCTTTTATTGTTCAACAATTTTTAAACATTTTTAGTCTTAATCACGCCTCGGTATCTTTCCTTTTTTCTTTAAGAGACTTTAATTAACAATTTAAAATAACCATTTTATTTGAATTGACACACAGGTCGGTTGTGACGGCCATTTATGGAGACACCAGACAGATTTGGTGAAACATCTGCGAGAACAAGCGAAGGATGGCACTCTGGCGGAAGTAATGCAACTTCCGGTCCTGTTATGGCGCGTTAAAACGGAATCGAGCCTGTTGCTAAGAAGCAGAAGAGAGAGCGGTTCTGGACACTATAGTAATCCGGATTACGACAGTTACGACGATTACGATATTGAATACGATGGTGAAGATGGCGAGGATGGTGAGGATGGCGAGGATGGAGAGGACGGCGAGGATGGGGATGACTCTCAAGTACAGCCAACGTTCATGCCCGAAACTAATCCTAGGGAAAATCTTGCTCCGGAACATCCTCACAGGCATCACCATGGGGAGGAACCTATCGATTGGAACGTAAGGTTTAAGAGTACCGAACGAATAATCGAAATTACTTGGTTCCATAGATTTTTAACAAAGTTTTATTTATATACCTTAGACCGAAGATGACAACGATGATCTTATAATACCCGAGACTCATCCAGACATAATAGAGAGTGTATTGAACAGAACTACTACAGACGCCATGTCGACTGTAAGTATAAAAAATCGAAACTAATCGAGTCGTGTGATGACGAATCGTCACCGATTCTCTCTTTTCTAAATGAAGAAAAGATATATTGGAAAAAAAAAAAAAAAAATTAGCAAAAAGAATATCGCTATATAACTGGCTTTCGTTGAAAATTCTTATGTCTCTGTCCTTCATTCGCCATGCCAATCGCTTAAGGGAATCGTTGCGCTTAAAATATCTTAGTATAGCTGTGGGTACTGCGTGTTCAATGCCGACTTATGCCATTTTCTATGCCGTTTAGGCGGTATCGATCGATGTATAGAAAGCGCTGTAATGCGAAGTATCTCTGTTGAAACCAGAAACGAAAGCCTGAGAGAGAGAGAGAATGAGAGAGAGAAAGAGAAAGAAGAGCATATACTTTATATATATATATATATATATATATATATATATATTATTTTATTTTTTTTCTTTC